ACCTGGACAAGAAGCTACAAGAAGCTTTTACTAGTGCCAAGCTGAGCATACGTGTCTGTGAACAGTGGTCAGGGAGTCTCCCTGATTTTTTTTAAAACATGTGGTTCCCTGCACTGCTTGGGGACCCAAGCTACCTAATAAAGACATAAGCTGCAAGATCTATGTATTGCTGAAATCTCTGATTTTAAAGCAATTTCATTTGGAACAAAACTTTGGATTCAAGAGTTATAGGGAAGATAAGAAGCTGAGGGCAACACAGTTATAAGCATATAAACTTATTTCTCTATGGAAGTAGGCTAAAAATTGTGAGGTTTTTTTGCGTACATTTAAGACTTGCTGTTGATATGTAAGTAATAATTTAACAATTATAACAAATCCATAATAATACTTTAGTACCCTTAAGGTAACTCAAACAGTGGGGCCTAAATAATACCACATCTATGAAATACACTGCTAAATTTGGTTGGATTTTTTTTTCTCTATGAAAATTCTGGCATTAATTCCTGTAGATATTTACTGTAAGAGACAAGCTATAATGAATACAGTGAGTGATTTGCAGCGAAATCAAATGCAGTCTTTGACATTTCATTTTATGTCAGATGCCTATTTTGTCTTCAGTTTGAAATTCATTACTTTTTATTGTGGGTGGTTTTATATTTACGTTAGATAAGTTTAGTTATTGCAAAAGTAAGACCCTAATGGGTTGGAGTAAACATAGTGTAATCAGATGGTGTGCAAGTTTACCTAAAGAGCTTTGACAACCTCTTAATCTTGATATGCAACACGCCATCTCTTCTAGTCATGGTCGTTTAAAAAAACATATAATGCATGTCATGCTAAATTGCACACTAGCTGTTTGTTTAGTATGGACATAATTATACTATAAACTGAACTGCAGTTGAAAGTGAAAATCAGACTTTCGCAATATTTTCAGTTTACAGCTCTTTACGCTAAATCACATCACAGATTTTCCCAGACAATGTACAGTCATCTTACTGCCCATTAACGCTCCTTTCTAGGAGTAAGGAAAAATGAGCCTCAGAGTTTTGTACTCTGGTTTGACTGAGGTTGAAGCCAGGGTCTTGGGGGTGCTGTAGTGTTAAAAAAATATTAGTTACTATTTGGCCTGACTGGAGGTTCCTCTTACATTGCTGACTAGGATTTTGAAGTCTTCCTGATACTTGAAATTCTTCAGTGCTTGCAATTCCATTGACTGATCTCAGTATTATTTCTTTGTGACTATGCTAATCTCTCTTGCTCGTCTCATGTCTTTAATCTGATGATCCATCTCGTGACTAAATCTGTATGTAGATATATTCGTGAATATACATATACACACACATATATGTGCATGTACATGCAAACATAGTCAAAGAGGCAACATATCCACACACAAATTTATGTGTCTGCAAGTTCACAGAGTGCATTTGTTATACAAATCAGTATGGAAACATTTAAGCTTTTTAAAGGACTGAATATTGTCAGATTACAACTAGTCCTAAACACAAGTACATATGCATTTTGCATTTTCTCTATATATGTATACATAATGTATTTCTCTTTGTATGTATACATAAAGAATGTATACTCTATGTATGTATGTATTTTCTCTCTGCCAACAGGTCCCATAAGCAGCATTTTAGTGAATAAGTATGGCAGCCGACCCGTGATGATAGCAGGAGGTATATTGTGTTCTTTTGGGATGATTGCTTCCTCTTTCTGCAATAGTGTCCTGGAGCTTTATCTGTGTATTGGTGTTGTTGGAGGTAAGAGTCCTGTTTAAAATGTATCACTTATGCCATTTCTACTGCTGTTGTACCAACGCGCTTTACTGACCAGGGCGCTCCCTGCGCAAAGCATTGGAAAGCAAGAAGGTAGCAAGAACACTCATCTCACTACCTGATCTATCTAATCTTTTAAATGATGTTAAATTATTTCTTTAGATATTTTAGGAATAGCTGATTATTTTATTCAGTAAATGCTATATGCATGTACCATTCGACTCTGCACTGGTATAAAAATTGATTGGCTCATGACAGCACTTACTACATTTATTTGTGTAGAATTTCACATTCATTGTTTTAGCCTTCTTTCGTGCTGTTCTTCAAATGGGGTAGCAGAAGTTAAAAAAATTATAGTAAAAACACTAAACCTAGTAACAGCTTTCTGGATGCTTGTACATGCAAACAATCTCATAGAAAATTATGTCAATTTTCAGTTTAATAACTTTCTGCTTAAAATTCAAGTCAACCCAAAATAAAACTGTTCATACATTACCAAAGGCCTGAAAATTACTAAGGAAATGAACTAACGTGATAATAAGGCCAGTAAATTAAATAACCACTTCACTTTTTTTTTTAAACCATCTCCTCTAAAAAAGAAAGGCAAGCAAGATTAAAGGTTAAATAATGAGAGATAATAAATGAATGAAATCATACTTGTTCCTGTATGCAAGTATATCTTTCTTTATACTAGGACTATGTAGAAGTGAATATAGAAGTCTCTTAGTTCAGGGTGTATTCTTTAAAACTCCATTTTTTTTACCTCCTAAAATATGATCAGGGCTGAGGAATTAGGCCATCAGAGCAGAACACTTCTTCTATGCAGATTCATAGCTACTTCTCCTGTATTGCCTAGATATCTTACTAGATATCTAGAGATGCAGATGAAGTGTGGAGTGTCCCATACTGAAGTGTGGAGTGTTCTGCTCCCATACATGTCTTTTTCCTCCACAACATTGCCACCTATAGTGGTGACTTCCACAACTGCAGAAGTGGGGCTGGATATGCTCCAAAATTACTAGTCATTTTAATCTCCACTTTTGAGATTTTAATCTCCCTTCAATTGGGCTAGAAACAAAAAGTGAGGAGATTTTTGCATTTAAATACACTCTGCAATCTTTGCAACTGAGGTGACATTTAATAACTTTTGTGAATTGAGCCAAGGGAGAATTGTGTTACAGCTTAGTAAAAACAAAAATGATGTAGTCAAGTTTTTGATATCATCATTTCTGTCATTGCTGAAACAGAGCAGTGAATTCTGGCTTTTATTATAATGCTGCAGAGGGAAATGACAGAATGTCGCCATGACATAGGCTTGGCATTAACTCCCATGGAAAGCAATGAAGATGTATTTCATTCTCTAATATTGGTTGCTTTTCAACTTCATTAAAAATCACTGGTTTGTATATTGATCATTTTAAAAATAATCGGGCTATTGTGCAGAATGTTTTTTAGTGCATGACATGCAGTAATGCTCTGTTCTGTTCTGTGTGTTGTTTAGGTCTGGGTTTAGCGTTCAACTTGCAGCCTGCCTTGACCATGATTGGCAAGTATTTCTATAAGAAGCGTCCCATTGCTAATGGATTGGCCATGGCTGGAAGTCCAGTGTTTCTAAGTACATTGGCACCTCTCAATCAATTCCTCTTTAATGCATTTGGCTGGAAAGGAAGCTTTCTCATTCTGGGAGGACTTCTCTTGAACTGCTGTGTGGCAGGGTCACTGATGAGACCTGTTGGACCAAAAACAGTCCCTCCTGCAAAAAAAGATGTTGAGAAAGGCGATTCTACCTTGCACAAAAACAACAAGAAATCTTTTTGGCAAACTATAAATAAATACCTAGATTTGTCCCTCTTCAAGCACAGAGGTTTTCTGATTTATTTATCAGGAAATGTTATTATGTTTGTTGGTTTTTTTGCTCCAATCGTATTCTTGGCTCCTTATGCCAAGCATAAGGGAATTGATGAATATTCTGCTGCTTTTTTACTCTCTATCTTAGCCTTTGTAGACATGTTTGCTAGGCCTTCAATGGGACTTGTAGCAAACTCCAAATTTATCCGGCCAAAGATCCAGTACTTTTTTAGTTTTGCTGTCTTTTACAATGGTATCTGCCATGTCTTGTGCCCTCTGGCAACAAATTACACTGGCTTGGTGATATATTCTGTTTTTTTTGGGTTTGCATTTGGAATGGTTAGCAGTGTACTTTTTGAGACATTGATGGACCTCGTTGGTGCTGCCAGATTTTCCAGTGCTGTTGGACTTGTCACTATAGTGGAATGTTGCCCTGTTCTCATAGGTCCTCCTCTAGGAGGTAAGAATCTCTCTTTTTTTTTTTTCTTCTCTCTCTGTCTCTTTTTAATGACATTACAGTGTAAATTTGCAATTTAGTATTGAATGAGTGTAAAAATTGTTCTTAATGTTCTTTAATGTTTTCTCTGTGATTTAGCACACACCCTACCACTGCACTGCGCTGAATCTCTTAGTGCTTTACAGCTTCAGATTCACATGAAGCTCTGCAGGTGCACATTGTATGCATGAGTAATAGGGAGATTTACAGCAAAACTCATGTGCCCCAATAAATCCAGGTGATAAATGTATATTTTCCTAGTAACACTTGGTGCTAACTCTGCAGCCTTAATCTGCATGTACTCACTTCCCTTTGCTTTTTGCCAACACAGCGCTTACTTCCCTGAATAGGTTGAATCCATTAAGTCCATTTTCATGAAGAGCTCAATCTATAGGTGCCAAAAAAGAGAAGGGCCCTCAGCAGCCTCTGCCATGGAGTGCTGTAACCTGCCACACATTTAATTCTACATGTCTCAGCCATCTGTTTAGCCTGTTTTTATAGCCAGTAGATAGGTATAAGGTAATTTAGAGAGTAAATCATCCTGCATAGATTGAAATGTGATGATGATGCCTATTTCTCTCCCCTGAGCACGAGGAGAGCTTAAAGGGAGCCTATATGAACAGCTAGGACTATATTTATAACTTTGGGACTTCTCAAGTCAAAATGATGAAAATACTCTTGAAGGATTTTCTGCCAATTTTTAGTAAGTATTTAGTAATCTTGCTAGTAAGATTTACAGTCTTTACAGGTTAAAAAACCTTTACAGGTTTTTTGGATATAAAAGACAAAAGAAAATAGGTATTCAATAGGTATTGAAAAGCGTAGGTTAAGCATGTGTCTGTGTAGGGGAGCCTTAAAATATTAAAATTCTGATAAAGTTACTCTGGAAAAAATACTGAGAAAATGAGCAGCCCTGTCAACAGGCACTTGTTCCCCTAGGTTCAAACAGGCAGAGAAACAGAAATCACCAGGATTAAAATACTCACATATGTCCATCAATTCTTAGCATTATGGTCAGAATCTGTGTCAAAATAGCATTGAATGAAACTTTAGATAAAGCAAAATAATTCCACTCATTTCAACATGACAATATTTTTACAAATAAATGTTTAATAGTCCTCAAGATATTCCATATTTCCATGATATTTTAGCATATGAGTTTATTTTGGTGATGGCAGACCGAAATAGATTATTCTAACACAGGCTCTTCCTATGCCACCTAGTGGAGGGCTAGGCTGATGACTGAATCTAGCATTCTCAATCATGTTCTGAGATATTAATATTAATTCTAAAAAAAATTAATCTAATATTAATGGACCAGTAGAGCCTGTAACTGTTTATTTTTAAATGTGTTAGTTTTTCAAAAGTTTTGAAAAGTATGTTTGTGCTATAATTGTATGAATAATTGACTTCTCCAGTTAAATTGAGACAACAAAGTGGATGAACACACAAAAGGAGCTAAATCACAGTTTTTACTTCTTCATATCTTTTAAATGTTATGTTATGTTGTTAATTGAGAATTTCATTTTTTTAATCTGTTTTATAAGACTGCCTCTAAACAAAACCTAGTAAATTTTATTCTTTGCATTAATAGGTGAATTATACACTTTCACTGCTATAGTAATATAATTTGAATTTTTCTTAATACAAGACTTGTGCAATAAAGCAAAGACTAAAATAAGCTGGCGTTATGGCTCCAACTCAGGAAAAGCATCTAAATACACACTAAATTGAAGTGTGCAAGTTATCCTATGAATTTCAAGATAGTGTAGCTGAGTTCAGAGCTAACTACTTAGATATGTACAAATGTTGATTTAGGAGCTGAGAAAATCCCTAAAGAATGACTCATAAAGTGGGAGAATTTTATTTTCCTTGCAATAAGTAAATTACTCTCAGAAGCGTGCACATAATTCTGAGGTACAGACTTCACAGTTCAAAACTCATCAGTTGCAAGTAATGGCTGAAGGGATGAACCTTTCTATTTCTTTCACCAGGCACAGGAAAGTAAAAATGAAAGGCAAGCACTTGATGCACAGTGACATCAGCCAGGGAAGGCACATACCTCTTCAACCTGTTGTCTGTAGATAGCCTCTGTTAGTGCCAGTCGCTCCAAAAGAAGAGGAAACAAAATTAGGAGATGAAAAAAAAAGACAATGAAGGAATGAAAATGAAAGAATTAACAACTGTCTGTCATCATTGTTTGTTAGGTTTTAATTACTTTGTAATTATATTGTTGCCAGTGATTCCAATGGCAATTGTTATCTTTATAGAATCATAGAATGCTTAGGGTTAGAAGAGACCTCTAGAGGTCATCTAGACCAATCCCCCTGCACACGCAGGGTCACCTAGAGCACGTGGACTGCATCCAAGCAGGTTTGGAAGATCTCCAGAGAAGGAGACTCCACAGTTTGACTAACACAAGTTTTGTTAGAGGTCCACTACATGTTTTAGACAAATAGAATTTGTTGAAAATACTTTTCTGTTTCAGCTTCAAAATATGTAGATATTTCTCCTAGAATTTGGAATTTAATGTATATTTTATTGTCAATTCTCTCTTTTCTCCCCCACTCCCCCCCACCCCCCA